AAGAAAGCAATGACTTCACTGAAAGGTCAACCTCAACCGAGTGGATATCCATTTCAACCAGTCCACACCTACGTCCTCAATCCTAAATCTATCACAATGGGTCAGCTTTATGGAGAATTTGATCTGCAGACACACGAATGGTGAGTTGAGATTTATCTTAGAACAGTTTCACATTGGCGCAACCCTTTATCGAGTATTAGCGACCCAACCCGGCTGGGGTTAGTTAGTTAGTTTATATGCCTACATTTTTTTCTGTCAAGGAGATTTGCCATTGAAAACGATTCCTCTTACAGCATTTTTGTTCTTGCAAGGGTGAAGTCTTTTCAAGAGATTCATTTCAAGCCAGAGCAGAGGTTGCAAATTCCACTTATCAAGAAGATTCTTGTTATTACCTGAAGGGTGTGCTTCTGAAGATATGAGGGTTGAAAGTTCCACCGTCAAGAAACTTCTAGAATAGTCTGAAATATTGGAAAGCATTTCATTATATTCAGGAACTCTTCCAAACATACTGGAATGTTTGAGAAAAGCCTGGAATTTTCGGTAAAGCTGCTGAATATCCCAGATCATTACCGAAAGTTCTGGGTCAGTCCAGAACATTCGAAAGTGTTCTAGAGCATTCAATATCATTTGAAACCATCCCTGAACATTATGAGATATTTTGCTATGTTCGGGAATAACCTGAATTATTTGAAAATATCCTGAAACATTCCAGATCATTGTAGAACAATCAAGAGAGGTTATATGGTTGCCCTCTTCCTCCATCCATGTAAAAAGTCTCTCTTGTCAACTGAAAGGTGTGCTTTTGAGTATATGAGGAAAGAAATTTCCTTTAAGAAATTAGAACAGCCCAGAACGTTCGAGAGTATTACAGAATATTTCATGACATCCAGAATATTCTGGATTATTCAAAAATGGTCTGGAACTTTCGAGAACCTCCTAGATTATTGTGGGATGATCAAAGTATTATATGGTGTGGTATCTCGCTATCTCGCATCTGATAAGAAAGTTCTCGATTTCATCTGGAAAGCGTGCTTTTGGCGCGACGTATATATTTTTATTTCCCCTATCCCCACACGCGAATTATTTGATCTGTATAGTTAGCTAAACCATATCCATCCAACAAACAAAGCACCCCAAACAATGATAGATGCGTGATCAAAGCACAATCACCACCCATTTTTGCATCTATTGAGTAAAATGAAAAAGCCTCCTCATGCGAGCTAATAAGATTTACCTGCAATCTCCTGAAGAAATTCATGTTATAGGATAGTCGTCATGGCCTGGCTTTACAGGCCATGATGACTATCCACTACGATGGCCATCTATTTTTCACGAATTAATCCATTATATTTATATAATACATCAACTTACTTTGACAAATTTTTTGTTGTATTCAGCTTACGAAAATCTATGATCAAGTTTCATAAGTGGTATCTGTATCTGTACAGTAGGGAGAGTGGGTGTAGACCCACATGTGACCCATTGTACATTCTCCCGAGGAGTTGTTCTCCTATGTCATCGTCCATCCTGTCCTTTCCAGGAAGGTGGACAGGTCACTAAGAGACATCTCCTTTATATTGGCAGGTGTAGGCGAAGACTCGCCGAACGCACACTCTCTTTGTCAATCTTGAGGTGTCACACGGTGGCTTCCGCTAAGGTTTTGGAAGGTGCAGCGACATTCCTGTCGTTGCGCCACTTCTTTAACCTTCTTGGGGTTCCCTCCGTGGAGGTGCACAAGTGAGGGCGCTTTCCTGCAGAGGCAGCTGGTTCCTTGCCTTCATTCAAGTAAAGTAAAAAAGTTGAAAAGTAGTGAATTTGGTGCAATAATTGTTTGACCAAATAAATATGTCGGACTTTAGGGCAATTTCACCGTTGGATATGGCCGGTGATGTATCACCAACCTGGCAATTTTGGATACAAAAGTTCAATAACTACTTGAAGGCCACAGAAGTAGACAAAACGTCAGAAGCAACCCAATGTGCTCAGCTTTTGCAGTATATCGGCGATGAAGAAATCCGAATTTTCAATATCTTCAAGATAAAAGATGAAGATCGAGATAAGATCGCCCCACTGGACAGTAAATTTGAAATATTTTTCAAGCCCAAAACAAATTTGGTGTTTGAAAGGCACAAATTATTAACAAGAAAACAAGTCGAGGGCGAAACAATACAACATTATTTGACAGATCTAAAAAGTAAAGCAAAAAATTGTGTCTTCGGTGATTTGGAATCATCACTAGTGTGTAGTGTACTCATTATCGGATTGAATAATGACTCTCTGAGAAAAAGGCTTCTAGAGGATCCTGATATTACGTTGAGAAAAGCGGAACGCATTTGTTTAGCAGTAGAGGAGTCAAAAAAGCAAGCTCATGAAATATCCAATGAAGTGAAAGAAATGCATGCAGTGGGCACCAGTTCAAACACAAGCTTCAGGTCTAGAAAGACAGGTATGGGTAGAATTCAACCACATCAATATCCCGATTATGGAACAGGTGCAGCTGTTTCTAGCACCTACAGTAGAAGTAAAACTAGCTTGGCAACTTCCCATCAGTATAGATGTTACAGATGTGGTATGACGCATCAAGTAACAAAATGTCCGGCATTTGGTAAGCAGAATACTTTGTGTGCGGGATTCAATCACTTCAGTAAAATGTGTAGAAATAATCGAGGTATACATATGGTATATAATACTGAAGATGATCATGGATTTGATGTGATTTCTGAATGTCACAATGATAATAACGTATTCATTGGTATGCTACATAATAGTTCAGTTAATGAAAATAATAAACAATGGAAAATATTGATGTGGGGGGTAAGTGAATCTGCAAATGTTGAATTTAAATTAGATACCGGTGCAATGGTCAATGTTTCAATAAAAACGCTTGAAAATCTGAAAGTAGATAGAAAGGCGCTGAGAAAAACAAGTAGTAAGCTTACAAATTACTCGAATGAATTCATACCAGTTCTTGAAGAGTGTCAGTTAGGATGTCAATATAAAAATAATCAGTATTTTCTTCCATTTGTTATTGTAGATGTAGATTCTCCTGCAATATTAGGATAAAATACTTGTTGTAAATTGAATATCATAACAAAAATGATGAAATCAGGAATGCAGACTTATTGTTGCAGAATTATCATGACGTGTTTGAAGGTATTGAGTGCATAAAGAATGCTTTTCATATTCAATTGAGAGAATCTGCTATACCGGTTGTTCATGCTGCTCAAAAAATCCCCTTTCCATTTATTGAGAGATTCAAAGTTTGCTTGCAGAATTTGGAAAATGAAAACATAATATGTAAAGTGGATTATCCAACAGATTGGGTGATTTCCATAGTCTTAATTTTAAAAAAGATATGTCTTTGAGAATATGTCTGGACCCCAAAGATCTTAATAAAAACATTCGCAGAGAGCATTTTCCACTTCCTACTTTTCATTAAAAATGTATCTACTATAACTGCTCCCTTGAGAGAATTGCTTGGTCTTGGGAAACTTGACATGAAAATGCAATTGAAATGTTGAAATCATATTCGATTAGTCGTCCCATTTTGCAGAATTATGACCATAAAAAACCCATAACAATATCAGCTGATTCCTCCAAAAGTGGAGTCGTAGCTGTTCTGATGCAAAATGGTTTACCGTGTATGTACGCTAAGAAATCACTATCTGATGCACAAAAAAACTGGGCTCAAATCGAAAAAGAGCTCTATGCTTCAGTATTTGCATGTGAAAGGTTTCATCGATTCATATTTGGAAAAAATATCACTTCAGAGACAATATCACAAAGCTCTCGTGCAAGTTTTTGAAAAACCTCTTCATGCATGTCGACCCCGACTACAAAGAATGTTCTTAAGGTTGCAACGCTATGACTTAAATTTTGTTTACAAACCAGGAAAAGACTTAGTAATTGCAGACACTTTATCTAGGGCATATATTCAGGAAAATGTGGAAGAAAATGACATAGAAGAGGAGACAGAAACTCATGTTTGTTAATTACGATTAAATCTAAATGCATCTGATGATAAAATAAAAGAATTGAAACTTGTTACTTTCCAAGATAAAGAAATGCAAATTTTGACGGACTACATTAAAACTATTAAACAAACCTATTCAGCAGTGAAAACATACTATAAATTTAAATATGATATCACAGACGCCGATGGTTTATATATAAAGGAAAAAAATTATTCATTCCTGAGAAACTGAGAAAAGATATATTGTGTAAAATACATTATAATCATATGGGTGTTAGTAAGTGCGAAAAAAGGGCTAGAGAGTGTTTTTTCTGGCCGTTCATGACTCAAAATATAGAGGATCCGGCATCCAGTGCCGGAAAAACCTTGGGAAACGGTTGCTTGTGACTTATTTCACTTTGAAACTGATGTATATCTATTAGTAGTCGTTTATTTTTACAAGTATATTGAACTGGCAAAATTAGAAGATTCGACTTCTTCCAATCAGGTTATTGTACATTTAAAATCAATATTCGTTAGACATGGAATTCCTTCAACTGTTGTTAGTGACGGAGGTCTTCAATTCAACAGTTATTATTTCAAAAAATTTGCTGAATCTTGGCAGTTTTCACATATAATGACTAGCCCTCTATATGCACAGTCAAATGGTCTTGTTGAAAGACATGTACAAACTCTGAAAAATATGCTTCGTAAGTCAAAACATGACAATGAAGATTTGTATTTAACATTATTAAGTTACAGAAATTTGCCAATTGAAAATAATATTGAATCCCCAGCTGAACTTCTCATGTCTAGGCGATTGCGAGACATATTGCCAATCGAAAACTCATTAATAACACCAGAAATTAATAATAATGCTGTTATAAAAGATAGATTACACGTGCGCCAAAATAAACAAAAATATTTTCATGACAGAAACAGTAAAAATGAGGTACAAAATTTTGAAAATAATGAAAGAGTTTTAATAAAACCTAAATTATCAAATAAAATTTGGCAAGAAGGAATAGTAGAATTAAAAAGTTGTAATAGACCTAGATCATACAATGTGAAATTGAAAACTGGTAATGTTTTGGCAAGAAATAGTAAATTCATTAACAAAAATCATGTGTCTCATAATGATATTATTGATGATAATGATTCTGATACAGAAACATTTGTTGAATATGA